AACTTAATTAGTCGACTAAATGTCCAACAAAGTGTCTCCTACTATACCATAAAGGACTTCCTATGCAATAGTGACGAAATCATCCTTTTCCACCCCCCTCCTCCCCCTCCTAAAAAAAAAAAAAGATTAAAATACATCAAAAAAAAAAAGGATTAAAGATTCTGCCAACACCCCTAAATCCTTCAAAGGGCGTCCGACTCTATCAGACGATGAGCACGCTTAAATATGAGGTGACACACATGACACATGAGTGTTGGTGTTCATTTTACAATTTCTACTATTATGGGGAGGGAGAAATTAGATTTCAGTGAAACATGATATCAAAGCAAAGTGATAAGTGGCTTTGCTTATCTTTCTATACCACAGTAGCCGATAGGTGAGAGGGAAAAAAAACAGAGGGAAAACAGAGAGGAGCAGATTGGGCAGAAACAGTGGTAAACTAAAACAAAAAGCTGATATATTTCAATAGATAAGTGTCTCATCTACATATGAAGGGTTCAGAAAGGAAGCCAAATAAAAGAGAATGCGGGGTAGTGGGGGAGAGATAGAAAAGGCTAAATGAATTCTCCATTTTCTTATTTGGAGGTTTCCCTATTAAGTGGCAGTGAGGTGGAGCTCACCTCAAGCAATTCTTAAGGAGGGCTGAGCTCAAAGTGTGCCGATGGGCGGAGGGACAGCTGTGTGGGAGAGCAGCAGACAGTTAAGATGGGATTTCTCATTACTCGCGTCTCGCTCTGTGTCCTGGCTATCACTGCTGTATACCGCCTCGCTCGCTCTCTGCCCTATAATTTTTCTCCCCCTCCTTTTCTCTTGCAGAGACTCAAACTGAATACATAAGATTGGGCCTACAAGGCCACACTCCCCCTCCCCTTATTTTCTCTGAGTCTGCTTGTGTTTCCACAGTATCTGAACAGACCGAGGAAGACTGGATGACAAAGCAGGAGCAAAGAAGAAACACAAGGCAGAGAGAGATGTGAGCATGTGCACATGAATGTGACTTCAAAGCTGGGCAATTAGGAAAACAATAATTGTCCTAAAAACCAGAATACTTTATTTAAATAACGTTTTGCAGTATATAGTGTAGTTATATAATCACAGAGCATAGAAATGAATTATTCATCTCGTCAGACGGTTAATAATAGGTCAATCATTTCAAAAATAATTCTATACTGAGAAATGTGACATCTTGGCGTTGGGCTGAGACAATGATTTTCTTCTCATAACTTATCATTTAATCACAAATGTATGTGTGAAGATACGGTCACAGTGGTTTCGTAAAATAACACCAAATATTCAATGTACTGTGATAGTGCATTGACGAGAGGAAGCAAATGTTCACACGTGAGGCGTTACAACATTTTCACATGACAAAATTATCTGTTGCTCGACTTGCCGATTCATCAACTTATCAGTCTAGCGCTACTGCAGTGTTAATTTAAACACCGAAAATTATCATTTCTTAAACAACTCGTATTATGATTACAAGACGGGGATTGGTAAAGATTGATCAACATACTGTCGAGCTCAATGTGGCTATTTATAAAAGCCATAAAGGAAGGAGTGCTGCAAATAAGAACTACACGTGGCATTAGTCATTTCAGTGTATATTCTACGCTGGTGCTTCTGTTATGAAAAATAAGCATAAACATAATCTCAGTAAGACAGGAGGATAAAGCTGTTAGATCCCGTCCTACTCACTGAATCATATAACGATTACAAATGCATTCTGCGCACATGTGAACGTCACCACAGAAACCTGAAGAGAGCAGGAGCCCCGGTGAGTCAAAGAGGTGAGGCTGAGGAGTGACCCGCCGTGCCTTTGATGGCGATGGCAGCGATGTGTGGAAGTGGACGTGATTCCTTGGGAAGAATGAGCCCCACGTCTCCCGGCAATCAATCCCTGATATTACCTGTGTATTTGTCAGATATGCTCCCTGCCACGCTAGCCACCCGTGACTCATTCCATCATTACATCGGAGAGGTCACGCCCATTCCACCCTCGCCTGCACCATCGTTCCTGGGTCTGATGCCGGCCTAATGGCCTGCTCTCTCTACACCGCAATTAACCTTTTTATTGGCCACCTGCCAGCCAGCTGGAGATACATCAGTGGTTGTGCATGCGTGTGCATGTGTGTAAGTAGAACCCATAAATGCAATAGCTTTATGTGTTCAACACTTGCCGAGTGTACGCATGTTCACAATGGCTGGAGCTTTTACGTCTATGAATTTCCATGTGAAAAAGTGAGTGTGTGTGTGTGTGTGTGTGTGTGTGTGTGTGTGTGTGTGTGTGTGTGTGTGTGTGTGTGTGTGTGTGTGTGTGACTGTGCCTATAACAGCTGACAGACTTCACCTGCTCCACTCTTTAAGTAGAAACTGATTGAATCTAACATCCCATCATGGTTGACCCAGGTAGATCCTGCTGGCTGTGAGGCTGTCTGATAGCAGAACACATCTTGGCAGAGGAACCAAACAAATCCCCTCTGCATTATACGCCGATGCAGCTGTAGTGACAGGTATTGATGGAGCACCGGGATGGACTGTCTACTGCAGGGTTTTTCCTGCACGGAGAATTACGATGCGGGCGCCTCCCATCAAATTTCGCGCCGCCTCCAGCTCTTGACAAAACTGACGAGTATCTTCAGGGAAACCGCTATTTTCTAAAACGTTGCACTTGGTGGACTTCTGTCACTTGTAGCTGCAGTTGCTGCATTACACAGATGCGGTGGCGCTGTAGCATAATCAGCACAGTGCAGCAGGAAAGCTGCCACAGAGGAAGAAAAGAGCTGCAATGTTTCTTAAGAAATGTCCTCCAATGAGTGTCTGTTTATTCGCTACGACAGGAATGTGTCAGGCGGCAGTGCCCTGATATTTTGTGGCTGTTCTAAAAGGTTAATATTGTTTCTTTTGCATCCCTTAATTAATGTTAAATCCCAATCAGCGATGACTTCACGAGGGGGAGAATCACGAGGGCAGGTGAAACAAAGCAGGCATCATTTGATTATTACATGCAGATGAAACATAATAATTCATGTTACTGTCTAAGATGTGGTAAATTTCGTCAGGTCTGAAAATGAAGCAAAACCATAAGAAGTGGGCGGGACCAGAGGCCGAGGATCAGAGTCAGAGTGCAAGATAGGACGAGGAATCAAGGCGTGGGTGTTCAGGTGACAAGTCATTATTTCAAACTACAAATATTTAAAGGTTGTGCATGATTTTTGATCGATCGGTTGATTATTTTTTTCGATTAATCATTTAATTTTGTCGTGAAACGGAGAAAATGTGACATCTCCTGAACTGTTGTTCTTTATTGTCCTTTTAGAAATCACTCGGGATTTATTCAAGTCCTAAAAGAAAAAATGAGTTTGCTTGAGCCAATCATGTGTGTGCACATGATCAGGATGGCACCACGTTGACCTCACTCTGAGTCGGGAAAGATCCCGCCACTGTCCAGCTCTGAGGATGCACACATACACATTAACACATAACACACACAGAACCTCCTGACCTGCGTTTCTTTAGAGTACACCGATTTGTCTGACTGAATTGCCATGGTGACCATGAGGTCAGAGTGAGAACAAGCTATGACAACCACACATACAAAGCCAGACATTAATCATCTACGATCACATCAACATCAATATCATTTGTGTAAAGGCTGAAGTACATTATTTGTACATTAGATCGAGCACATATGCCCTTTCTGTGATGAGTGATGAAAGAAAAATCTTTGCAATCTCCCCAATGGAAACGTACTGCTTCATTAATTTGTAATTCAAAAGCCTATGAAAAGCAACAGAGCCAGACAGTAACTTCACACAGGCACTCCAAGGTATCCGAGAGGCTTATACTGTACTATCCCATTGTCAACAAGAGGCCTCTCTCGAGCGTCTTAAAATCTGGCAGAGCACTGCTGAGCTGAAAGCGCACACGGTAAATGCATTCTGCGGCTCCTCCAGCTGCAAATTGAATTTCAGGGCACGGCTTGACTCAAAACACCTAATAATCCCATGTCACTTACTGTTCCCAAACCGAACAAGGTCACATCGTAGGACTAGTAATGAAAAAAAAAAAAAAAAACAGACCCTTTTACAAGCGTTTATCCAGTAGGGCAACACGTTCAGGCTTCCAGCAAGGTGAAGGAATTTATAGAAGAGAAAGCACAAACAGCTGAGAAATTCAAGGACAAAAAAAAATAAATGTAAGCAACTAAAGAACCTTTTCACACATTCATATGTTATGTGGGTGTGCATTTGCAGTATAGCTGTTCCAAAGAAATGGTTAAAGAGATAATAACCCTGAATGCTGTGAGGAAAATCTGCGCTGAGCGATAACACTGTTCAATATTGCAACGATGATATGACAATAAACAAACAAATGCTGAAGTTTGCATATACAGTTCCTATGTCTTCCTCCAGCATTGGCACTAGCTAACCTCACGGTCACCGCCAAACTGACATGAATGAATCAGAGGGTAGCTGGCAGCTAGCATGGCTCCATCTGACAAGTCAAATTTCTGGAGGGCTTATGTTGAAGTACGCCATTAAAAAAAAACCCCTTAGTTAATGCACGTGTAAATAAATTATTTTTTTTCTAATTCATCAGTTTCAGTCAGTCATTAATGTTCATATCGCGATGACAATAAAAATTTGATTCACCGCTCAGCACTACTAGATAACGTAACTTTACCAATGAGAAGATGTGATGAGGGTTATTAGTCTATATGTGTTATTTGTGCTGTGCACTATGCAATTTACAAACCACTTTTATTTCTCACTTAATATTATGACCTTCTTTTACACACATCCACACAGGTATGTTCAAATATTTAAAGGTTAGGACCTGAGAAGAGCTACACCTTTGCTGGTGAAGTCACTTGAATTATCAAAGCAATTTACCAGGAACTACAGTTACAACTGGATTATCAACCATGGTGTTAAAGAAGTACAGGATACAGGAAAAGTGGATCAGCTAACTGAGGTGATAAGCCCGGCAGCACTCACCTGCTACAGAAAGGCGTGCCGTCCGGCTGGAAATGGATCCCAGGTTGTCGATGGTGGCGACGCACTGATAGGTGCCCTCGTCGGGCTTATTGTGCTTCGAGTGGACCACATGGGTGAAGAAGAGCGTGCCATCGGGAAGTATGTGTCGTCTCTCGTCTGAAAGGCTCATGAAGGTGCCGTCTTTCTTCCACTCTATGCGTGCCGGCGTGGCTGCATCGCTGTGGGCCGAGCAGTTGAGCAACGCCGCGCTGCCCCGAATGGCCAGTGTGTCCTGGGGCTCCACTGTGAACCAGAAGGGGATGAAGGGCTGCACTGCTGAACCTGGGAGGGCGACAGGTGGGAAGAACAGGGATCTTAGCTGAATGCTCCACACAGACGCTACGTAATGCTTCAGAACAGGACCACTCACGCCTGAGCAGCTACGAGCAATGCATCGAATGAGAATCTTATTAATGTCAAACAACTGATCTATTCCATGTTCACAGCAGCTGATGCTAATGTCGTTATTATTCATCTGATTGTAAGACCAGCTCGTCTGCTTTGCATCAGTGGAATTCAACTGTAAGTGTAAATCTAAAGCTTGCCGCAGATGCTCTCATCTTATAAAAGTGCCATCATGACCTGTTTTGATTTATAACTAGACATAACACTGAGCAAAGTGTGTGTAACTGCTCATACAGATGAGTGCAAATGACTTTTAAAAGAACATTTCTGCATTTATTCTGCAGTAGAAGATACAGAAACAGCTGTAAAACACCGACTAACACTATACAATATGTGGGACTGCTGACAGCTATTTGAGTTCAGCTGAAAGATAAGTGACTGCAAAATCAAATCTCTTAGGACGTCATCAACTTCAATAGCACATTTAAAAAAAAAAAAAAAAAATCACACAAAAAAAATCCACTGGTGGCTGAAATAAAAGTACACTACAGGACTCCAAGTGCCCCAAACACTCAATGAAATGTTCCCGAAGCAAAACATCTTTTTGTTCATTCTTTCTATTCAGCCACTGTGCCTCAGTCTGTCCCAGAGACTCCGAGAGGCTTTTCATTATGGAACCGCAAGCCTCGCTGGAATTGGACAAGAGGAACTGACAAATTTAACCCAGTCTAGCCTCCCTGGCAAGTTAATATCACGTCTTGCCCTATTATAAGTAGAGGGAGCAGGGAAGGAGTAAACACTTTGGAACGTGGTTGCCATTTCCTTTTCTCCTGCATAAATGGTAACATTGCACTGACATGGATAGTGCCAAAGTCAGAGTAAGTGCAATTGCTTTGTATTTGTCCTCATCCATTATTCAAGCGCTCCCACCCTAAGAGTCACACAGTGGTATTGTTTAGATAAATAACACCAATTATCAGTTCTGCAGGGATGGGGAGAGCTAGAAAAATAATTAAGGAGGTATGAAGGTATTTTAATAATGCAACGAATGGAGTGAAATAAGTGTCTGAATGTTAAATGCAGTTTAAAATATGCCTGCTCCCTTCCATGGAAATGGCAAGTCTCCAGGGGAGAGCGAGGGCAGAAAGAGATAGAGAGAGAGAGAAAAGACAGAAAATGAGAGAGGAAGAGAGATGCTATGTCAGTGGTTGAGCTATTTAACTACTGGGGAGGTAATTTCTCTACCTTGCGGCACCAAGTCCCTAGTGTGAGATCCAAAGAGGGAAGCGATGTAATGCGTGGCCCATTACGGTGGCAATATGGCTGCTTGTCCTCATTGCACTTAATGCACAAACTATTACAGTAAAACGCTGCAGAAAATGACTGGATTGAATAGATATTTTCCTCTTTGACATTAGGGAATGAATGTAAGACAACACAGCATTACAACTAAGCAGTGCAATCGTCTCCACGCTGATTCCCTGATGGAAAAGACTAGGGGAGAGAAAGGGGAAAAAGGGCCTTCACTCAGTCTCAATGGACAGTGCCGCAGTCAGTCCGTCTAAAGCATCAAAGCCAGATTGATTTGCAAGGTCCCGTCACCAAAGACAAAAAAAAAATTTGAAAAATATCTCGTCATCTTACTCACATCCTCTAATGGCTGCTACAGTGTCATTTTTACAGAAGTTAAGGCATTAAACTGGCAAGTTTCAGATTTTACTGGCAGTAATGTACAGCCAGAGTAAAGTAAAATTTCAGGACACCAAACTTTATTAGATCTGGTGATGCATAAGTGCTCAAACATACAATATTTTATTTTAAGAATCCCTTCAGGCAGAAGTGGATGTGAGATTCAAGTGGATAAACAGCAGTAAGGAATAAAATATGCCGACCTGAGTCAGCCCAACCCATTTTCAAATGTAACTCGCAGCAGTAAAGGAGTGGTTTTAAATTAGACTGGGGTACGCAGCTGATTTCAGGAAATCAATAAATTCAGAGCAGCCCAGTGTATATACTGGGCAGAATGTGACAACCCCAGAAAATGTATTTTACTGACGGTGTACATGACAGATGGAGAGAGACCAGAGAGGAGTAGCAGTGGGGGGAATTCGTCACTCCTGCAGACCAGAGGCACCATGGCATGCTTAATCATCTCTGCTTTACGCTGCTGGAACAGTGGGTGTGTGTGGGCTGGGCAGAGCTTCCAGGCCCAAGCCTGGCTCTTTTCCAGTCAAAAGACCATCTTCAGCCGCTCTCTATCTGTGGAGGAAACTGAATGGGCTAGAAGGTCCTGCGGCATCGTATCAGAGCCAAAACAGCCGCCTTTAGCAGCTTTTTATCCCCATCGTAGGAGCTGTAGGGGAGGGCTTAGCTTCAGCTCTACTGTTGGACAAAATGGCGAACCATCTGCTTTCAGTAGCACACACAACATCCACTGTCGGCAGAGCAGGGCAGGGGGAGAAGATTGGACTGGAGATTGTGATAAACCAGGGGGGTAGAGGGGCTGATGGCAGGCTAAGGGGCTGTTTTGTTCTCAACTACACTTACTTTCTTTTTCACTACATCCACAGTATCTGCATCTGGAATCATTTCTCTGAAAACTAACGCCACCAGCACCAGTCAAGCTGCAGACAGATACACACACACACACACACACACACTGACAGACAACCAAAACAAAACACTGATGCAACTGGTAGTGGCCAAAGTCCAAACTTCAATAACATAATAAGGCGGGACAGTACGATCAATGCTGGACCCACTATGTGCAGACTAAACAATATGTTGATGAACAGCAAAAATCAGCCACAAAATTGCTGACCGATTCTTTGCATTTCCATTTTTGAGGCATTTAGACACAGGAAATGGTAACAAAAGCTTCACAGAATAAATTCAGCCATGAGCCTAAACCGAGCTGCAAGATCTTCTCCTTTATAAGGCAACTGAAAAGAATTCAGTCAAGATTTAATTTCCTTGAAATTGGCTCAGATAATTTTGAGAAAATTAGGTATAATGGGCAAGGCAGCGAACAAAGTTTTGACTACAACCTTCTAGGGTCCTTTAGGAAAAATAACAAAGCTCAAATAGCAACACCAGGCCTCAGAAAATCAACCATAATTTCAAGAAGGTAAGAAAAAGCTGGAGAACTGTGCATGAAGTTGTAGTTAAACATCTTAGCAGGAAGCAATGATCTTAATCTACAGCTTTTGATTAAAACTAAAAACTAGAGACGAGCTTCAATTTTTATCAACACTGAGGAAAAGTTCATTTTTAGCCACTAACAAGGTTGTGAGTCGCAGGCCTGGAAAAAATGTGTAATGAACAGGCAGAGAACGAGCTGTGTTCTCTCTTGATGTATTCTGAGGAGCTCATTGACAGAAAACTCAACAGTGCACATGTTCCCCATACATCATCAAAGGGCAGGGAGCATATCTAACCAAGCCCTGCTGAAACACAACATAATGAGGAGGAGGAGAGGAGATGAATTTTATAACAATAGGGAATTCTGACTGTAGTGCAGAAACTTAATCTGTCTTGTAATGTATTCATCAGCGACATGCATGGGTCCAGATAACTTTAGTAAGTAACACGAAGTCCCCGGGAATAAAATTAATTTTCCCTTAAATGTTTCTTACAAGTTGCAAAACGAGAACACACACATCCTTATGCCAGAATTCATTAGTGCTGAAACACTGCAGGCTTTTAACAACACAGCTGCAGAGTTAAAGAAGGAAGTGTCAGAAACCACATTACAGTGTGGGAAGTCTAATCCATTCAGGCCCAGCAGTGTGGGAGCCCCCCGTTTGTCTTTGAAAAATAGGAACCTCCATACCAGGCAACCAGTGAGAACGAGGGAGCACAGAGCAAGGGGCTAGAAAATGAGGTTGTCTGTTTGATAAGTATGGGCTGTTACCGCTGTCCCAAATCCACTTTGCTCAGCAGTCATAAAAGGTTTGGGAGCCCAGTTTAAGGTGGTGCCCCGATATGCTGCCTTGGCTCCCTCACTCCCAGTTCCCACCCCTTGCTCTCAGATGAGAGAGAGAATGGAGACACGGAACTAGCGCTGGATTTCCCATCTTGAAGCCGGTGCTAAAGGTAAGTTTTCATAGGTTACAGAGCTTACTGTCAAGGTGACATGTCTGTGTGTGTGTGTGTGTGCGAATTCAGGTAATGTGTTCACAGACTATAGCAGCGATCTCATGTCTGTGACACGAATCGACGACAGGAATGCAGCACCAACGAGAATTCAGTGCCAACACATCTACAGTTTACGATTCCTGCAGTGGATTAGAGTGGAAGTCTCGACTGCCTCTTTAAACAGAGATCCTGCTATACTGTTGTTAAGAAGACCCTCCACACCCTTGTTTACACTGAATCACACGAAGCCGGCAGCGTCTTCATCTGTACCTCCATGCTGGCTCTCCCTTTTCTTGCAGTGACGCTGATCCAGCTCTGTGACTTCCTCCGCTGCCAGCTTAAACAACAACAATAAAGGCGCAACATTCCCGCCTTGAACAGGTTGCACATAAAGGGGCTAATGTTAGGAGTAATATCCCAGAGAAGGCAGTAAAGAGGAGTGGGTGAGAGTCTGCTCTTCACACAAAGACCCCCTTTTCTCTCCCTATTCTACCCTTGGCTCAGCAGGAAGCCTCCTCCCTCATTGACTCACCATCTGAGAGCGGCCATATTGACTACTCTCTTTATTGAGCTGCTCTTGAGACAGAGCAGACCACTCTCAAAACCGGTCATATTTTCAACAACAAAGGCCCTTCTGTGGTACAGACTTCAGCACAAGGAAATCCTGGACATCCTGAAAAGTAAACACGCTTGACAGGCATTTACAACTGGAACATAGTAATTACACTTTAAAAGACTAAAGGGTAAAATAGATATTAGTTCTTGTTGATATAACGACGTACAGGTACGAATCTGATTTT